GGAAGTCAACCCTCATATTCATTGGAAGGGAGGAGTGATGCTGAAACTGAAGCTCCAATACTTTGGCCACCTGATGCGAAGAGCCAACTCATTGGAAAAGACCCCAATGCTGGGAAAGATTGAAGGCAGGAGGAAAATGGGACGACAAAGGATGAGATGGTTGTATGGCATCACTGACTTGATGAACATGAGTTTGAATAAGCTCCAGGAGTTGGTGATGGACAGTGAAGCCTGGTGTGCTGCAGTCCATGGGGTCGCAAAGAGTAGGACACGATTGAGCAACTGAAATGACTGAAACATGAATATGGACATACCTAGGAGGGAATTTGCAAAATAAAAAGTTCTCTTAGAGCTACACGGGGCTTTTTTCTTTGAAAATGTTGTTACATTGTTTTTGCCATTTCAAAAGCAAATTACACAAAAGAAAAATAATGCAATCACACAAAAAATTCAAAACAACAAAACAATGATCTGTGAGAAAATATTTACAACTTTACATCAGAAAGAACTAATATATGAAAAGTTCTTCAAATTTGAGATAAAAGACAAAATTCCTATAGAAAAAAAAGCTTAAACAGTTTTCAGAAAAAAAGTTCATTTGATTGTTAACATGTGAAAAAGATGCTTAACTTCTACTCAGAAGAAGAGAAATGTAAACTAAAACTATACTGAGATATAATTTCTCACATATCAGATGGGCAAAAATCCAAAAGTTGGCAATGCACAGTCCTGGNAAAGCTATGGTTTTTCCAGTGGTCATGTATGGATGTGAGTTGGACTATAAGAAAACTGAGCACCAAAGAATTGATGCTTTGAACTGTGGTGTTGGAGAAGACTCTCTTGAGAGTCCCTTGGACTTCATGGAGATCCAACCAGTCTACCCTAAAGGAAATCAGTCCTGAATATTCATTGGAAGAACTGATGCTGAAGCTGAAACTCCAATGCTTTGGCCACCTGATGTGAAGAACTGACTCACTAGAGAAGACCCTGATGTTGGGAAAGATTGAAGGTGGAAGGAGAAGGAGACAACAGAGAATGAGATGTTTGGATGGCATTACCAACTCGATCGACATGAGTTTGAGTAAGCTCTGGAAGTTGGTGAGGGACAGGGAAGCCTGGCATGCTGCAGTCCATGGGGTTGCAAAGAGTCAGACATGACTGAGCGACTGAGCTAAACTGATAATTGATTTACAAGATTGTATTAGTTTTGGCTGTATAGCAAAATGAATCAGTTATACATATACATATATCCACTTTTTTTGGGGGGGACTGAGATTTTTAAATAAGCCTTCCAAGATAAATCTAATCTACAGCCATGATTAAGAACCACTGGTTGAGATGACCACTAAGGTTTCATGATTATCTACTCAACAAACACTTATTATACATTAACCTCAAACCTGGTATTATCCTAGGATCGGGGTAAATTCAAAATGAAATCTACAAAGATCTTGTTCACAAAGATCTTTTTTGTCAAGTGGACAAAGATGGAAATACTGTGTGGAAGATCACAAGTTCTAAAAGTGACTCTTCTAAGATGTGCAATTAAGAGGATATAAAATGTGTATTCGGGGCTATAGTCTTATTCTGTGTGTCTTTGGGCCAGTCGTTTAATCTCTGGGCTTTTCTCACCTTCAAAATGGAAAAGGGACTTGTTCTTCCCAGGAGATCTTGGGTTAGCTATGATGATAAACAGAGGGCCCCCACACCGATGTGGAGGATTTGAAATTTAATCCATGACTGGGTGGTATTGACAGTCCTCCAAAACACCATGAAGAAGTCAGACATGTTATTTAAGACATCTCTCTGCTGTTTCCTCAGATGCTGTCCTAGTCTGGGTACTTAATCTCATGTACCTCACTGGCATCTTGCTCTGGGCAGGGTTTCTGTGGTCAATCCATTTCATTTGCGCTGAAGATAGATGCTTTTGGCTCTGCTGGGACATCTTATTATAGCTAATATGAGAGACTTGTTGTCCAGCTCATGGATAAGCTCCATTATTTCAACATAATAAGAACAACTTATTATGCTCCTTAACTACTTGGTCAGATGGGCCAGTTGAAATAAATGCTTTTAACACTCATACTCTTAAGACTGAAGTGTATTTATTAGAGGAGTCACAAATAGCTAATTATCCCTCATCTCCAATTCTTGGATCCCAGGCATGACATTCACATGCATGAGGATGTCTCTCCAGGTATGGTTGCAGCTGTCATGTGACCGTAGTGAGCTTTCTCCAGACACTGACTTGTGTAGAAAAAAAAACAGAGTCAAGTCAGGTACACCTCATTTTGGAAACAAGTAATGTACACCTCACGAGTCCCATCCGTGACCATATTCAAGCCCCTGTCTTCTTCTTACCTCTTTGTCAAATGCAGTGGGAACTTGCTTCTCACCCATCTACCCCAAATCTATACACTCAGAGGTACTTCATTTATTTATTTTATTTTAAACTTCTTATTTTGAAAGAGTTTCACACTGACATAAAAGTTGCAGGAAGAGTAAAAAGAAATGTTTTATAACCTCTGCTCAGATTGCCCAACTGTCAGCAGGCTTTATTATTTTATATCTATGCCTGTATCTTTGTGTCTACTTTTATATACCATTGGTTTTATCCTTCTGTGTGTGTGTGAAGGCCTCTCTCTCTTTCCCTCTCCATTGCTCCTTTACTCGCTGGCTCTCTGAATAATTTCATTTGAGAGCTTGATGCCTTTTTACCCCCAAATACTTCAGTGTTTGTATCATTAAAAACAAAAACATTCTTTGATACAACCAGAGTACAATGAGGCAGTAAAGGAGAAAGTGGTTTGTAAACTGTGATGAATAGAAAGATCTGAGGGGCCCTGATTGTGATAAGGATTATTTTCTCAGGTTTCACCAGGAAAAAGGATTTTAGGTGGTGACCAGGAGGGAGCCACCACCAGGTATTGCCTGGGGCTTTGCATCCCAGAGGAAAATTCCATTTCATTTTCCCTTTCCAGGTTCATCGCTCACCTTTCCCTTGTCTGTGATCCTGGAAGCTCTAGTTCTTCCAGGAAGAATTCTCAGAATTTTGCCTTTGCTTTATCTCCTCCAACCCTAGGAGCTTGGCTAAGTCAGCAAATTTTTCAACCTTGCTACTTGCACTCGTGTCTGGGTTGTTAATATATATACCTGCCCTCTGTGCTGCTGGCCTCCAAGGGCCGTAGGGCATGAAAATATCAGCTTCTGTTCATGCAGAGAATTTCCTGTTAACTCCAATGCTGCATTTAAAAAAAATTCATTCTCAGAAACCTGCCAAGATTTTTCCAGCTTTTTCCAGCTTATCAACCTGATTCAAATGTCTTAGTGGTTATTTTGGCTTTTCTCACCCTGTATTTCCAAGATTGTTTTTTAAAAAATAAAATTTCCCTCGATTAAAAAGAAATCATTCTCAGGGCAGAAAATTTGGAAAGATCAGAAAAATATAAAGGGGATAAAGAACTCCTTACGTTTTAATTCCCTGANAGCAATCCCACTCCTGGGCATACACACCAAGGAAAGCAGATCTGAAAGAGACACGTGCACCCCAGTGTTCATTGCAGCACTGTTTATAATAGCCAGGACATGGAGGCAACCTAGATGTCCATCAGCAGACGAATGGATGAGGAAGCTCTGGTACATATACACAATGGAATAGTACTCAGCCATTAAAAAGAATTCATTTGAATCAGTTCTAATGAGATGGATGAAACTGGAGCCCATTATACAGAGTGAAGTAAACCAGAAAGATAAAGACCAATACAGTATACTAATGCATATATATGGAATTTAGAAAGATGGTAACGATAACCCTATATGCATGTAGCTTTCTTAGCACATAGAATGCTCTCAGTTGGTGTTCAATAACCTTCCTTATCTGTTGAAGAAATCTCTTTTTTTTTCCCCTACCAGGGATCCCTCCCCCTTCTCCTTCTGACAGTGTCCTGATACTCCTCTGGGAAAGCTCTCCTAGCTTAGTCTATGTGGTTCAGGTAGAGCTGACTTCACCTTTTGCCCCAGGGAAGGGTACCTAGCCCTTGTGAGCTTGGCTATTCACAGCAGAGCTTCTTCCCTTTCAGCACAGCAGTTGGTTCACAATGGGTATTAAGAACTGAAGGTATGTGTCCCCCTCACCCCCATCTCAAATTCATATGCTGGAGCTCTAACCTCCAACGTATTGGAATTTGTAGGTGGGGACTTTGAGAGGTCGTTAGGGTTAGATGAGGTCATGCTAGTGGGATCTCCATAACAAGATTAGTGTCCTTATAAGAAGAGAAACAGAAAGTGGGGCCCTCTCTCTCTGCCATATGAGGACACAATGAGATGGTGGCCATCTGCAAGCCTGGAAGAGGCTCTTACCAGAATATGGCCATACCAGCATCTTGACCTTGAACTCCCAGCCTCCAGAATCATGAGAAGGAAGTGACTGTTGTTTAAGCCTCCCAATCTATGGTACTTTGTTATAGCAGTCTGGGTAGACCAAATCAGGGGGCATGTGATCCAGTCTGGGCATCAGTAAGATGCAATATAGAGTTTCGTTGGGACTCTTGGAAAGGAGAACCTTTCTTTCCTCTTGCCTTGAGGCTGGGATCATGCAATCATGGAGCTTGCAAGAGCTTCTGCCATTTATCCCCACTCCTCCAACCAGTATGGAGAAGCATTGGCTGAAAATAAAGCCAATACAATGGAAAGCAGAGTTAAAGGACAGGGAGATTGATTTCTATTTATATTGTCTGACTAAATGTATCCAGCCTTGCTTAAAGCTAGAATACCCAACTCTGCCTTTGAATGAGCCACCAATAGCTACCCCTCCCTCCTTTCAAAGCAGAGCTGAGTTGGGTTCTGTCATTTGCAGTGGAAAGTGATTTGGCCAAGATATGCTTCTAGCCTTTTCAAGAATTGAAGGTCCTGCTACTGCTTTCCTCACATTAAGTTTACTTGTGTATCAGGAGTGGTCCATTCAGAAGACTCCTAATGTCAAATGGTTACTATTCACACAGGGCACCTTTCAGCCTGGATCTGAATGCACAACTTCAGCAAATGGGGGACATACATACAGAAGGCTTGACAAACCACAGTGTAAGTTAACTTCTGATGGCTAGGGGTAACAAAAGTTAATGAAGATCAATGTGGAGTGTGACATCTTCTTAGTTATTCCTAATTAGTACTGAAGCAACCCTTTTATTTATTGAGTACCCCCCCTTATTTATTTTTTTTTTCTGTCTTGCTCAAGCAATCCAGTGACTGGTGCACATCTCTTCTGTTTCATTTTTAAAACTTATACTTTTGTAATTAGAGCAGACATGCTCAGAAAAATAATGAGAATGTAACTTTGCTTGTTCTGATAAAACCCTGTGATGATATGTATATTTCTAATCAGAGCCATGTTTCAGAGTCATTCAATCCCTTCTTATATGAAGTTGACTAATTATATAGAAGTTACTTTTCATAGTTACAGTACTATTTATATGTTATTCTTATGAACTCATATCAAGTCTTCCAAACTTTATTTTATATCTTTATATACAACTGATACAATTTTATCAAAAAGGATTTTAAATCTAGATACGTAGTAGTTTAGGAATAAGACATTTGAGGGTGGCTATAATTAATAGCATAAAACCTAAGTGATGATTAAATAACACCCACCTTTACCCCATTAAGGAGTTGTTGTTGTTACTGGTTCAGCTGCTGAATAATGTTGTCAAAGACTATGCATTTTCTGTCCTTCTGCTTCACTATCCTTAGTACATTGGCTTTTGCCAATCATAATTATATGATTACAATATAATTATAATAATATATAATTATAATACAATAATAATTATAATATGATAATAATTATTATTACCTAATAGATGCAAGATGACTGCTGCTGTGCCAGATACCACATCAATATCCAAGGAGAAAGAAGGAGGGAAGGAGCAGCTTCAGAGGTCTCTCTAACCAGAAAAGCAAAACCTTTCTGAAAAGTTCCAGGCACACTTTCCTCNTGGGATTCTTCAGGCAAGAATACTGGAGTGGGCTGCCATTTCCTTCTCCAGGGGATCTTCCTGACCCAGGGATCGAACCCAGGTCTCCCGCATTGTAGGCAGATGCTTTACCATCTGAGCTGCCAGGGAGATATACAAATAAATATTTAGAAATGAATTAGCACACAGGTAAAGTATTTAGACTACTGCCTATTAGTAGGTACCATATAAAGATTTGCTATCTTTTTTGTCATTCAGGTATCTATAGGTTTATATGTATATTCAGACAATTTCTAAAAGTATTCTCTACTGCCTTCAGTAATTACCAGCATCTCTTTAACTCCTGGGATACAAATGGGCAACAGGGAGAAATAAACCATGCTGGAAGCCAGCTGTGTCCATCATTGATTGCCAGCAATGCCCTTTGTGTGGTGATAGACTGACTCTTCAGACACATGTGTGGGCCTCTGCGGTGAGTGGCGGGGGGCGAGTCTCTACTGTGGGTACTAGGATGTAACGCCTGTCTTCTGCTCGTTTCCTGTATCACAACTCTCACACCTTGGCTAAGAAAGTCTCCTCACTAGTGACCAGCTCTCTGCTCCTGGCTCATGGCTATTTCTGCAGTATCCACTGACAGGAGCCCCTCCCTCTTTCCCACATCTGTGAGAGTGCAGTCTTCTACGCTACTTCCTCCTCTTAGCCCTGGCATTGCTTCCCCGCTGTCTTCTCTCTCTGCTCAAACAGGCATGGAACAGGGGAAATCAGGAAATATGATGTATACCCAACAACTCACCAAAGGTTGAAGTGTCCCCAGCCTTTACTGGGGGTGCCCGCAACATCTTCCTTTCATGTCTTGGAAGAAGGGGCCATCTTCTCTTTCCCCTGCGAGAAGAGAGGAGCAAAACCATACTGACGCCTGTGAAGAAGACTCTGCTGGTGTCTGGAATCTCATCTTTCTCCTAGTGATCTGCTCTTACAGAAGAGAGATTTGGGGGTTCAGCCTCCCCTAGACACCCTGAGGGAGGGTCTTCTCAGTTTTCTTTAGCATATGGGCTACTCAACACCACCTCACCATTTGCTAATTCTGGGTCAACAGTAAAAATTGCATTTGAGATCCTGCTACTCTTGTTACTTTAACCTAATTAGAAATTATATAAGTTGATAAAATGTGCATGTAAAAGGAAATAGAGCAGCGTTCCCATAAAAATAAAGTTAAATTAATTGGAAAAATCGGAAAAGGCAAGTCATTTAAAAAATGCTGTTCCATCAGGTGTACGTGAGGCAATAGTAAGTGGTTGGAAAATAGTAGTAAAAACGGAAAATGACTCTTCACTCTGATTGCTTCACGTGGGTCTCTATACTCTCATTCCATTTTAAAGGATTTGAAACTAAAAATTGAAACATAAAGGCAGTTTCTACAAGAAGACTTTGTATCCAGCCTTGCTTAAAGCTAGAATACCCAACTCTGCCTTTGAATGAGCCACCAATAGCTACCCCTCCCTCCTTTCAAAGCAGAGCTGAGTTGGGTTCTGTCATTTGCAGTGGAAAGTGATTTGGCCAAGATATGCTTCTAGCCTTTTCAAGAATTGAAGGTCCTGCTACTGCTTTCCTCACATTAAGTTTACTTGTGTATCAGGAGTGGTCCATTCAGAAGACTCCTAATGTCAAATGGTTACTATTCACACAGGGCACCTTTCAGCCTGGATCTGAATGCACAACTTCAGCAAATGGGGGACATACATACAGAAGGCTTGACAAACCACAGTTTAAGTTAACTTCTGATGGCTAGGGGTAACAAAAGTTAATGAAGATCAATGCGGAGTGTGACATCTTCTTAGTTATTCCTAATTAGTACTGAAGCAACCCTTTTATTTATTGAGTACCCCCCCTTATTTATTTTTTTTTTCTGTCTTGCTCAAGCAATCCAGTGACTGGTGCACATCTCTTCTGTTTCATTTTTAAAACTTATACTTTTGTAATTAGAGCAGACATGCTCAGAAAAATAATGAGAATGTAACTTTGCTTGTTCTGATAAAACCCTGTGATGATATGTATATTTCTAATCAGAGCCATGTTTCAGTCATTCAATCCCTTCTTATATGAAGTTGACTAATTATATAGAAGTTACTTTTCATAGTTACAGTACTATTTATATGTTATTCTTATGAACTCATATCAAGTCTTCCAAACTTTATTTTATATCTTTATATACAACTGATACAATTTTATCAAAAAGGATTTTAAATCTAGATACGTAGTAGTTTAGGAATAAGACATTTGAGGGTGGCTATAATTAATAGCATAAAACCTAAGTGATGATTAAATAACACCCACCTTTACCCCATTAAGGAGTTGTTGTTGTTACTGGTTCAGCTGCTGAATAATGTTGTCAAAGACTATGCATTTTCTGTCCTTCTGCTTCACTATCCTTAGTACATTGGCTTTTGCCAATCATAATTATATGATTACAATATAATTATAATAATATATAATTATAATACAATAATAATTATAATATGATAATAATTATTATTACCTAATAGATGCAAGATGACTGCTGCTGTGCCAGATACCACATCAATATCCAAGGAGAAAGAAGGAGGGAAGGAGCAGCTTCAGAGGTCTCTCTAACCAGAAAAGCAAAACCTTTCTGAAAAGTTCCAGGCACACTTTCCTCTTTACCCCTTGGGAAGAAACAGACAGGTAGCAGGGAGAAAAGGCTAAGAGCAATCACAATTCATCAGTTGGAGATGGCATGATTTTGCCCAGCATAAAGTCGAGTTCTGTTAGAAAGGAAGAAGGAAGAAGAAAGAAGGATGGCTGGTGGGTAAGCAACTAACAGTATCTGCCACAGGTCTCTATTCCTGAATAAATAAGTTCCACTTTTATTGGACAAAATGCATATGTTGTATATATTCTTTTATCTTCTTGTATATAAATATACAAATAAATATTTGAAAGTGAAAGTGAAGTCGCTCAGTCATGTCTGACTCTTTGTGACCTCAAGGACTGTCGCCTACCAGGCTCCTCCATCCATGGGATTTCCAGGCAAGAGTATTGGAGTGGGTTGCCATTTCCTTCTCCAGGGGATCTTCCTGACCCAGGGATCGAACCCAGGTCTCCCGCATTGTAGGCAGACGCTTTACCATCTGAGCTGCCAGGGAGATATACAAATAAATATTTAGAAATGAATTAGCACACAGGTAAAGTATTTAGACTACTGCCTATTAGTAGGTACCATATAAAGATTTGCTATCTTTTTTGTCATTCAGGTATCTATAGGTTTATAAGTATATTCAGACAATTTCTAAAAGTATTCTCTACTGCCTTCAATAATTACCAGCATCTCTTTAACTCCTGGGATACAAATGGGCAACAGGGAGAAATAAACCATGCTGGAAGCCAGCTGTGTCCATCATTGATTGCCAGCAATGCCCTTTGTGTGGTGATAGACTGACTCTTCAGACACATGTGTGGGCCTCTGCGGTGAGTGGCGGGGGGCGAGTCTCTACTGTGGGTACTAGGATGTAACGCCTGTCTTCTGCTCGTTTCCTGTATCACAACTCTCACACCTTGGCTAAGAAAGTCTCCTCACTAGTGACCAGCTCTCTGCTCCTGGCTCATGGCTATTTCTGCAGTATCCACTGACAGGAGCCCCTCCCTCTTTCCCACATCTGTGAGAGTGCAGTCTTCTACGCTACTTCTTCCTCTTAGCCCTGGCATTGCTTCCCCGCTGTCTTCTCTCTCTGCTCAAACAGGCATGGGACAGGGGAAATCAGGAAATATGATGTATACCCAACAACTCACCAAAGGTTGAAGTGTCCCCAGCCTTTACTGGGGGTGCCCGCAACATCTTCCTTTCATGTCTTGGAAGAAGGGGCCATCTTCTCTTTCCCCTGCGAGAAGAGAGGAGCAAAACCATACTGACGCCTGTGAAGAAGACTCTGCTGGTGTCTGGAATCTCATCTTTCTCCTAGTGATCTGCTCTTACAGAAGAGAGATTTGGGGGTTCAGCCTCCCCTAGACACCCCGAGGGAGGGTCTTCTCAGTTTTCTTTAGCATATGGGCTACTCAACACCACCTCACCATTTGCTAATTCTGGGTCAACAGTAAAAATTGCATTTGAGATCCTGCTACTCTTGTTACTTTAACCTAATTAGAAATTATATAAGTTGATAAAATGTGCATGTAAAAGGAAATAGAGCAGCGTTCCCATAAAAATAAAGTTAAATTAATTGGAAAAATCGGAAAAGGCAAGTCATTTAAAAAATGCTGTTCCATCAGGTGTACGTGAGGCAATAGTAAGTGGTTGGAAAATAGTAGTAAAAACGGAAAATGACTCTTCACTCTGATTGCTTCACGTGGGTCTCTATACTCTCATTCCATTTTAAAGGATTTGAAACTAAAAATTGAAACATAAAGGCAGTTTCTACAAGAAGACTCTGTTTGCTTGGTTGTTCAGTTGTATCCTACTCTTTGTGAGTCCATGGATTGTAGCCCACCATCTCCTCTAGTCCATGGGACTTTTTCAGGCAAGAATACTAGAGTGGGTTGCCATTTCCCTCTCCAGGGGATCTTCCTGACCCAGGGATCAAACCCGCATCTCCTGTGACCCTTGCATTGCAGGTGGATTCTTTCCCCACTGAGCCACTGGGGAAGCCACAAGAAGATTGTTGTTGTGTTATTGCTCAGTCACCAAGTCATGTCCTACTCTTCCAGAGCCCATGTGCTGCAGCACGCCAGGCTCCCTGTCCCTCACCATCTCCTGGAGTTTGCCCAAGTTCGCGTGAATTGAATCGGTGATGCCATCCAACCATCTCATCCTCTGTCACCCCCTTCTCCTTCTACCTTCAATCTCTCCCAACATCAGGGTCTTTCCCAGTGAAGAAGACTGGGGGTATCCAATCTGCAGGATGATGTGGAAAAAAGATATGGGCCCTCTGGAAAAAGGCAGACGCGTGTTCATGAATATGTTTTAGGTGGAAACAAAATTTTTAAGATGTGCATCTTTCAAAGATTTATCTTCCTTAACCATCTTTTCAACTAGCTGGTTCTAATTGCTCTGGATTAGGGCTTTTGCAGCAGTTCCCCAGCTGCCTGTCTCCAGGAGCCCTTGTAGACAATCTCTAGCCCGTGAAGAATGTCAAGCAGCTTCCTACCTTTCTCAGAAAGGCCCCTCCCCTCCTTTCGCAGACCATCATCCTTCTCTAGCAATGATCAAGTTTCCAGACTCCTTTTGCATCTCAGGATTCTTGCATATATTTCTGTTCCTGGGTGAGGGCAGGCAGAAAACCATGGAGGTGAAGTGGGTTTAGGGAAAGACTTGAGAACCATTTGCCATGGGTCCCTTCTTGACTCGTTTATCCCCCTGTTTTCCTTCAGTGGTCTGGAGTAGTTTTTTTTTTTTTTTTTTTAATCAGATACCCTGTCCCTCAAGGGTTAATATTCTCACAAAAGTCCTCCCTGAAGGCTATATATAAGATTCAGTTTTTCACAATGCTTGTGTGTCTCTCTTGCTCCATATAAACCTTTTTTTTATTAACTTTGGATGTACTTTGCCCAATTATGGCTTTGAAGTAATTAGATTTTATCTACTAATTGGAGGGAACAGGAGACAGACAGTCCTGCTATGTGTCTACCTACTAACCTAGATATCTAACTGTATGTAAGTGTGTTTATTTGTCCACCAATCTTCTAGAAAGCATTGTGCCTGGCACACAGTAAATGCCTGATAATGGCGCACTGTGATTGTTATTGATCATTGATAGTATTATTGATTGATAACAAGTTATCATGTTAACAATAATAACCATCATTGTAACTAATGTTGTTAACAGTGTTATCAACTGTTATCAACTGGTTGATAGTTAATGTTCACACCTGGTGTGTGTGTGTGTGTGTGTGTGTGTGTGTGTGTGTGTGAGTGTGACTCAGTCGTGTCCAGCTCTTTGTGACCCCGTGGTTTGAGGAAAGAGTGATGTTTGTGTGTGTGTGCTCAGTTGCTCGTTATATCTGACTCTTTGCCAGGCTCCTCTGTCCATGAGATCTCCAAGGCAAGAATATTGGATTGGGTTGTCATTTCCTTCTTTAGAGAATCTTCCTAACCCAGGGGTCGAGCCAGGTCTCCTGCATCGTAGGCAGATTCTTTGCCATTTGAGCCACCAGGGAAGCCCTTCTACCTGATACTCCTGTCCAATCTGCTACTGGGACTCTGTGGGTTTTGTCTTTGGCTGACATCAGTTTCTGATGTCTTCTTGCCTTTCACTCTTTTCCTGTCTGAGTCCCTAACTCCAGTCCTGCTCTGGTCTCCATGATTCATATTTATCCTCATCTTGGATCCTCCAAGAAAGTTCCATTTCTCTGCTTTTCCCTGAATCTGGGTAAAAAATAACAAACACAACTGCCCTTTCTGCCCCATTCCTCCATTCTTCTACCCTTTAGCCCAGTAAGAAGTTTTGAGACAAACTAAAGTTTCAAAACTTCAAAAAGATAAAAAAAAAAAGACAACCCATACATCTGTGTCAAGTATTAATGACAGGGTCCACCTGGAGAGGCTATTGGCCATGTTTGGATGTGGCGAGGGTATTTATGACAGTAGAAAATTGAAAGAAGCTTTGCCCAATCACTCTGGCTTCTTTTTCAAGAGCCCAGGACACCCAGTTCCTGGTTCACAGAGGCTGTAAGCATTTTCTGTCTGCTTCTCTGCTGGACCCATTTTGCCTTTTCCAAACTGTCTCCTTGGTCAGAGGGTTTGTTGCTGTGGTGCAGGTGCTAAGTTGTGTCAGACTCTTTGAGACCCCATGGACTACAGCATGCCAGGCTCCTCTGTCTTCTACTGTCTTTCTAAGTTTGCTCTAGTTCATGTCCACTGAGTCAGTGATGCTATTTTACCATATGCTCTGCCACCCCCTTCTCCTTTTGCCTTTAATCTTTCCCAGCATCACAGTCTTTTCTGATGAGTTGACTCTTCACATCAGGTGACCAGAGCATTGCAGCTTCAGCTTCTGCATCAGTCTTCCAATGAAAATATTCAGAGTTGATTTCTTTTATGATTGATTGGTTGATTTCCTTGCAGTCCAAGGGACTCTCAAGAGTCTTTCCAGCAGCACAGTTCAAAAGCATCAATTCTTCAACTGTTAGCCTTCTTTATGGTCCAACTTTTACATCCATACATGACTACTGGAAAAACTATAGTTTTGACTATATGGGCTTTTGTCGACAAAGTGCTGTCTCTGCTTTTGAATACACTGTCTAGGTCTGTCAGAGCTTTCCTTCCAAGGAGCAAGTGTGTTTTAATTTTCTGGCTGCAGTCACCATCTGCAGTAATTTTGGAGCCCAATATAATAAAATCTGTCACTGCTTCCACTTTTTCTCCTTCTATTTGCCATGAAGTAACGGGACCGGATGTCATAATCTTAGTTTTTTGAATGTTGAGTTTCAAGCCAGCTTTTTCACTTTCCTCTTTCACACTCATCAAGAGGCTCTTTAGTTGCCCCTCACTTTCTGCCATTAGAGTGGTTTATAGGCTTCAAAGAGCAGAGATAGTGTGTGTTTTAGAATTTGATGGCAACACTGCAGCCAGGACCAGCCTGAACTAGGGTGTGAGTAGTGATGGGCTCTCCCAATTCCCATGAACACGAGGTGCCAGGTCGTAAACTCCACATTGCAAGGGACTGAAAGCAGAGAGAACCACTTCTATCAGATGCAGTGCACATAATTAACGGTTCCCGTTGCTTCGCTGACTCTTGCCATGGCCTCTGCCTGCTCTGCCAGCTTTCACTCTCAACACTCCTTACACAACTCCATCCCACCTCACTTCCTTGTCCACTGCATTACCCTCCAGAAACAATAAATTGCTTGCAAGTCCTACAACAAGCCTCACTGTGTCTTCCTTTTGCTTAAAAGACCTTCTTTTCTGCCCTGTCTTCTTGGCCTGAAGCATCTACTTACACTTAAAGTCTATTTAAATGTTTCTCTTCCCAGAAACTCCTCTCTATTCCACAAAGACTGGTGAGATGCCCACCTAGGTGTCCCGCCTTGCTCAAAGGCATTTGCACCACAGGGTGTTTAATTGCCTTCCACTTACTGGTCTCTCCCTCTAGATAATAATTTCTAAGGAATTAATGGCCATGTTTATTATGATATCTCCACTGCAAACCATAGGCACCCCATAAAAATTCATGGAAGGAGTGATGGTGAATGAATAAGAAGCTATAGCCTATGCTAGGCTGATTCTGGTCCCTCTAAATTAGATTCAACCCAGTGGTGTGCGTGCATGCATGCTTAATCATGTCTGATTCTTGTGATTCCATAGACTGCAACCCGCCAGGCTCCCTCTGTCCACGGAATTTTCCAGGCAAGGGTACTAGAATGGGGAGCCATTCCCTTCTCCAGGGGATCTTCCCAACTCAGAGATGGAACCAGAGTCTCCTGCTTGGCAGGCAGATTCTTTACCACTGAGCCACCTGGAACGCCCTCAACCCGGTGGGACCAGAGCAATCTGCCGAGGAGGAGGACTGTCCAAATCAGTGCAATGTGTGCACGCTAAGTCGCTTTAGTCGTGTCCAACTCTTTGCGACCCTATGGACTGTAGCTCACCAGGCTCCTCTGTCCGTGGCATTCTCCAGGTAAGAATACTGGAGTGGGTTGCCATGCCCTCCTCCAGGGGATCTTCCCCACCCAGGGGTCGAACCATCATCTCATGTCTCCTGCACTTGCAGGCGGGCTCTTTAACTCTAGCTCCACCTGGGAAGCCCAGTGCAGAGGGCACAGGAAAGCTGTCCTCCCAGGAGAGGCTCCACCTGCGAGGCCAGCTTACCCGCTGGAGAAAGGGATCCCAAGTCAGAGAATCAGCCCCTTAACCAGGGACGGGTGCCTGGAGTGAGCGCATGAAGGAGAAGAGAGGGAGAGGAGCAGACCTCATCACTATTAGGCTCTGAGACAGGAAATTTTAGAGAATTAAGAAATCTAATCAGCCTGGTGCACTAAGAAGGAAGCTGCAAACTCGCGGGTGTGGAAGAAAGCAGGAGTATCCTGAGGGAGATCCTAATTAAAGCGCAGTCGATTACAATTCCTCTGAAAAAGGAAAATGAAAGGACTAAGAAACATCTGCTGTGGATTCATGAAGGACTGCTCAAGGATACAGAGTGTGAGAAAAAGAAATTCTCAACAGCCCTGAAGAGGCACAGGGCATGTTTGTTCTCCGTCGGGCAGAGCTGGTGGGGGATGGGGCCCAGCAATGCAAAGGTTTAGGATTGTTTTAGCCAATGGGGCAGCGTAAAAGGGAAAGGGAACAAGGCTTCCGGTGCAGCCTAGAATGGCTGAGTAACCTCTCCAGCTCTATCACCTCGCCTGGCAACCAGTGAGCGGGGTGGGGCTTAGCCCTGCCCTCTAGTGGGAGGGGCTATGCTTGACACCTGCTTCCCAAGGCCTCCAGGTGTTGGGCTCTGGTCATCCCCATGGCGCCTCTCAGTATCTGGCACCTAGCCTCAGTCTGCCGGTACACAAGTCCAAAATGTGTGTTTCCCTCTGCAGGTCATATTCAGGATCACCTGTTACAGAGGGCATTAGGTGGGGTCCGTTCTCTGGAGTTCGGACTGACAGGTGGTCCAGCTGTGCCCAGACCCAAGTATCCGTCGCTGCAGGTGAGGAGGTTGCCGGGGACCCCAAACCTGTTGCCCTTCTTCCCGTGCATTTAGTGATCCCGGAGGGTTTGCTCCAGGCTTTATCCTTGCTGTTCATGTTGTTAAAGAGAAGTTTAGACCCAGCTAGAAGTGCTCAGCTATCCTAGATGTGACCTAGGAATTGCTGAGCTGGAAGAGAATTCATACAGCCCAATCTCCCACATATATTGGAGCATAAGATGTATTAATAAAAACCCGAGTAAGACTTAAACAACAATTTTAGATAATAGCAGTGTAAGAATTTACATAGGGTGGACCAGGAAATAAGTACTATTGATCTATAGAGAAGGAAGTGTTGACCATGGCCTGAAGGAGTCCAGAAAGGCCTTTCTTTGTCTTGGTCTAGATCCTGAAGGCAAGATTTTCAAAGGTCAGCATAAGCCAGGAGAGCCTCTGGGAAAGTGACGAATGGAACAGAGAAATTCTAAGACTGCTGGATAAGACAGCTTCCCAAACAAGTGCTACCCAGAGATGTGGGAGGAACTTACCTCCTTGATATAAATACATCTTCAAGCGTTCCAATAATCTAACGCTGTATAACAAACCATCCCAAATTGTAGCAGCCCAAAACAACCGCTGTTTTATTTTATCTCATAACTTGGTTGGTCAGGAATTCAGACAGGGCTCAGTTGGATGATTCTTCTGTTCCACGTTGCACCTAGAATCATGGTATTCAGCCGATGGCTGGGCTGGGCTGTAGGTGCCAATATAACTTGTTTACACCTATTGTCTTGTCAGGGATGACTAGAAGACCAGTCTTAGGTCACTCTCCTTTTTCATGTAGTCTCAGCATCTGCCACTCCAAGCATTCTCTCCTGCAGAACAGTCTGACTTCTCACATAAGTGTTCAGGGCTACGAGACAGTGTTTCAAGAACCCCAAACAGAAGCAGTAAGATTTCTTATGTCAAAGTTTCAGAAACACCCCCCCCACCCCATCATTTCTGTCACATTCTATTAATTAAGTAAGTCCTAAGACTGGTGCAGATTCAAGCAGAGTGTATTAAACCCCACCTCTCAAGCTTTCATTTCCACAGTCAGTATTTACAGAGCTCCTCTCCTGTGTCAAGGCATGGCTAACTACTACTGGGGGTTACAAAAGAGAATTATTCATATACCTAACCTGCAGAAGCTTATAGTCCAGTAATGGAGGCAGATGTGCATACTCATAATGTGCACATAGTATGATAATGACTAGTAAAGGAAGGGAATAAATGAAAAAAGAGCATAGAGAAAAGCAGCTTGCTTTAGAGGTTAGCAAACTATGCCCCATGTGCCAAATCCAGCCTGCTACCTGTTTTTATAAGTAAAATCTTATTGGAACACAGCCACACTCAATTATTTAAATAGAGCTTACTTTTGCACAGCAGTGGCTGAGTTGAGTAGTTACAGCAGAAACCATATGATCTACAAAACCTAAAATATTTACCTCCCGGTCTTTAACAGAAAATGGTTGTTGATTTCTAAGCTATTTTAATAAGTATGGCTGGATGCCAGGAACCATCAGTTCAAATTTGGGGCAACTGTTCAGGTTCTTTTTTTGAGTGTTTGGACAGAGATCCTTCATTTTCTACTTTATTTTCAATGTGTTTTAGTTTGCTCATATTGTGTACACTTTATATTATATATACATAATTTTATTTATTCAAAACCCTCTCTGCACAAACTTTGTGGTAGATCTTTCTTGTGAAGAACTTAGATAGTGGAAAAGTCAAGTATAAAAATAACTATAATACAGGACAAAAAAAAAAACCAAACAGGCAAGCATGTGGAAAATGAACAAGGTTGAGCTTAACCACATGCCAGTCTACATATAATATTCATTTAAATACTATAATAATCTTATGTGATAGCTATTAATAAACCATTTTATAAATATAGGAACAAAGGTTTAGAGAAGTAAAATAATTTGCCTAACTGTGATTAATCGGTAGGTTATAGAAGTGAAATCAATGAAAGATTTTCCATTCAATTTATTTACTGAAGTTTTATTTGTTTTCTATTGAAATATTTTTCACTTCTTGAGTTTCTTTTTGTTCTTTTTCAAATCTGGTGGTAATTTTTTGCAGTTATTATATTAGTGACTCTATTCCTTCTTTTATGTCTTTGAATATTTTTAAACATACTTAAGTTGGAAGCCTCATCCCCTACCTGGCCTTGGCTCCAAAATGTCAGAATGTTGGGTAGAAAGTAACATACTGAATACTAGAAAAACAGCTTAACTTCTCTAAAACTGAGTTCTATGTTTAGAAAATAGTGCTGTTATTATTATTATTGTCTTTGTTGTTGTTATTATCATCCACAGTTCTTGACATGTGACTCTAACACTTGTATGTCTACTCTCACTGACATTTATTCCTCATGTAGTTACTAATTTTTTTCTTTTTTTTTTTTTTTTACTAGAAGCTCATTTTTAGTTGCAACTGTTTTCCTTTGTGAACCCCATATGTCCTGACCTATGGAGATATCCAATGAAGACAACTTCCTCCAGCTCAAGTGGTCAGGAAAGTTCATTGCTCCTTCTCCAAGGAAGGAAATAAAGATAATATGGAATAAAGGAAGGAAGGGAATAAAGATAATATGTTTTACTTTTGTTTGTTTTTAATTTCTGTGTTTCTATTTCATCTCCTTTTGCTTCACCTTGTGAATTGAGATCTTTCATTTTATAGTTTTCTTACTGTTAGTCTTAAAGTTAGCTATTTCTGTTCTTTCAGTAGTTAGATGTTTTAATATGTATGTTATTGTTGTTTAGTCACTTGGTCGTGTCTGACTCTTTGTGACCCCATGGACTGTAGCCCTCCACTCTTCTCTGTCCATGGGGATTTCCCAGGCAAGAATACTGGAGTGGGTTGCCATGCCCTCCTCCAGAGGATCTTCCTGGCCCAGGAATTGAAGCCACGTCTCCTGCATTGCCAGGCGTGTTCTTTACCACTGAGCCACCAAGGAAGCCCTTTAAAATGTATATTTAGCTTAAAATAATCTAAGTGAAAGTGTTAGTTGCTCAGTTATGTCCTACTGTCTTCAACTCCAGACTGTAGCCTGCCAGGCTCTCCTGTCCAGGCAAGAAAGCTGGAGTGGGAAGACCCAGAGGGAGCGGGTAAAGAGGGAGGTGGGAGGGGGGATTGGGATGGGGAATACACGTAAATCCATGGCTGATTCATGTCAATGTATGACAAAACCCACTACAATATTTTAAAGTAATTAGCCTCCAACTAATAAAAATAAATGAAATAAATAAATAAATAAATAAATAAAAGCTGGAGTGGGTTGCCATTCCCTTCTCCAGGGGATCTTTCTGACTCAGGGATTGAACCTGGGTCTCCTGCATTGCAGGCAGATTCTAAACCATTTGAGCCACCAGGGAAGCCCAGTTATCTTCCTGACCAATAGAAGGGCCAATTATTATTTTCCTGATGAATAAATATAAGACTTCCTTGGTGGCTCAGACAGTGAAGAATCTGCCTGCAATGCAGGAGACCTGGGTTTAATCCCTGGTTTGGGAAGATCCCCTGGAGGAGGGCATGGCAACCCATTTCAGTATTCTTTCCTGGAGAATCCCTATGGGCAGAGGAGCCTGGCAGACTGCAGTCCATGGGGTCACAAAGAGTCAAGACACGACTGACTAAGCAACTAAGCACAGCATAGACCAATAAAAGGATCAGAGAATGCTTTTATATGTCTTGTTGTTATTCAGTCACTAAATCGTGTCCAACTGTTTGCGATGCCATGGACTGTAGCACACCAGGGTCTTCTGTCCTCCACTATTGCCTGAGGTTTGCTCAAATTCATGTCCATTGAGTTGGTTGCTATCTGTCCATCTTTTCCTCTGCCTCCCACTTCTCCTGCCCTCAATCTTTCCCAGCATCAGGGTCTTTTCCAATGTGTCAGCTTTTCACATCAAGTAGCCAAAGTATTGGAGTTTCAGCTTCAGCATCAGTCCTTCCAATGGATATTCAGGGTTGATTTCTTTTAGAACTGACTGGTTTGATCTCCTTGCAGTCCAAGGGACTCTCAAGAGTCTTCTCCAGCACCACAATTCAAAGGCATCAATTTTTTGGTGCTCAGCCTTCTGTATGGACTGACGCTCACATCCATACATGACTACCAGAAAAACCATAGCTTTAACTATACAGATCTTGGTCAGCAAAGTGATGTCTTTGCTTTTTAATACTGTCTAGGTTTGTTACAGCTTTCCTTCTAAGGAGCAAGAGTCTTTCAATTTCCTAGCTGCAGTCACTGTCCACACTGATTTTGGAACACAAGAAGATAAAATCTGTCAATGTTTCTACTTTTTCTCTTTCTATTTGCCATGAAGTGATGGGACTAGATGCCATGATCTTAGTTTTTGAATGTTTCATTTCAAGTCAGCTTTTCACCGTCATCTTACCTCATCAAGAGGCTCTTTAGTAGCTGTTCACTTCTTACCCTCCAGTAATAAAAATTGATTCATTTTTTTAGTTCCTTTTTAGCCTGACAAATAGGACTTCATTTTGTTGCTGTGTACATTTCTAAATTATTTAGGTTCACCCACATTTACTTTTCCTACATTTACTTTCTTCCCTTGCCATTTCTCCTTTTTTTGAGGCTCACTTTTTTTCCTTTCTAAGTACATACTTTATGAAAGTCTCTTGGTAGTAAATACTATTTTTTTTTTTTTGAAAATGTCTTTATTTCTATTAAAAGATGGTTTCTCTGACTATATATATATCCTAGATTGACAGTGATTTTCTTTCACTACTTTTGATATTTTCAATCATCTTCTGGCTTTTATTTTTTTGAATGAGAAATCATGTTTTAGTCTGTAACCCTTTTGACAGTAACATGCATTTTTGTCTTCTGGGATTTATTAGATTTCCTAAACCTGTAGAATTATGCCTTTCAGTGATTCTGAAAATTTTTCAGATAGCAATCTAAATATGACCTTTGTCTCTAGTCTTTCTATTGTCTCCTGTGGACAATAGATCTAACTGTTGGGTTAGATCTTTTTGTTGTATCTTCTATGATTCCTTTTCATATTTCCTGACTTGTCTTTCTTGATTGTAATATTGGTAATTAATTAAACCTATCTTCCAGTTCACCAAGACTCTTCATCTCTACATAATCTACTATATAATCTATTCATAGTGTCTAATTAGTATTATTTATTCAGTTATTAAAGTTCCCATTTTGAAATTCTTTTTCAAAATTTCCCCATCAATTTTGATAGTTATTTTTTTAGGAGGGGAGGAGATGATCTTTTGTCATACTTTTACTACCCTATTTTATTTCTTTAAATATGTTATGAGGTATCAGTCCCTGTTCCTCAATGGATATTAGAACCCTAGTCATAGCTCCTAAATCCCACATTTTATTCCAGTACCAATTTGGATATTTACTTCAACCCCTGGTTACTTCTTTGCTTTAAATTCTCTCTTTGTGGCATCTGAGAATCATCTCTATTGTTTTCAAAGTGAAACATAATTTTAATTTTTGTTGTCCTTACTTTTGTAAGTATTCCATATGAGAAGCAGTGAAGCATAGTATTTATGACCACAGTCTCACATGTGCCTGCCGGGGCTGACGAGGCTGCAGCACTCTGCTATGCAAACTTGGACAAGATATTTAAACCCTCTGTGCCTTAGAACTCCTCATAGACATAATAACTGTGCTTTTTCTATGGGGAGTCAACGAGTCAATCTAGATAAACTACTCAGAACAGTCTCTGGCAAATGATCTCTGTTAAGTGTTAGCTAGTATCCATAAGTAATATTTAGACTAGGAGGGAACCTTCCTGCTTCAGCTTGGTTTTCCTAAAGAGATCTAACTCCTTCCAAAGTCCATGTCCTTTCCATTACACCATGAAGTCTACCCAGGGATAGAAAAGGTGCTGCATAAGCCTAGTGAGATAAGAGAAACTTGCTCCCTAAATATGGGGTATATAGTAGAAGCTTAGCTGTTAAATTATAAAGTAAAATGACACTTCATCTAATTAAGGAAATAAAAGTAAAACATGGGGCTGGGTAGATTTGGATGTCTTTTTGTAATATACCCCTTACTTGAGTAATAAAAGTCTCACCACATTTGTGGCAGGATGGATCTATGGGGAGGTGTTAATTGGCCCATAAATTTAGGTTACAGGGAGGGCAGAACCTCAGCAGCTCAGCACGCGTGTCCTTGGCAAAGACTTACACAGTGTCTCACACATCCTAACAACTCACCAAGCACTTGCCAATCAAATTAAACACCATTTGAACATTGTCCTCTTTTCTGGGCACAGATGGATTTTTTTTTTTTTCTATACTCAGATTCTCATGATTAACTAGAAGAGCATAGACAGGGTTAGACAAATTGTCTTGTGACACTCACCTGGATGTGGAAAAGCACTCTGTTACTAAGGCGCCTCAATACTTAGCACACAGGAAATCTAAGCTAAGAAGTGGTAAACAAAAAGGCATCTCTTGTTGAATGACACCAGGGAGGCATGGGGGTAATGCTGTATTTTAAATTACTCAGAAGAGGGATTGGGGAGTGCTCTAGGGACTTGCAGGTGTATTCTACCAGGAGGGAAGGCAAATGCCATAGAGAGGAACAGAACAAAAGGGGCTGGAGCTATGGGTGGGACTAGCAGCAAACCAGGGAGGCGGAGGGAAGCAGCTGCCTTCTACCAGCTGTGGTCAACGCATACTCTTAATGGCTGAGCTACTCAGTAAAGTGAGCCTGGTTTCTTTAAGATGGCTGGCTTACCGGTGGGTCCCAGCTCTTCTAACAGACCTCCTCCCTGTTTCCATGGAACCTGCCCACATCACTTAAAGCAGCAGCATCCTGTGTTTAACAGTGAGTTCTCTGTTAGCTAGTATCCATAAGTAACATTTAGACTAGGAGGGAACCTTCCTGCTTCAGCTTGGTTTTCCTAAAGAGATCTAACTCCTTCCAAAGTCCATGTCCTTTCCATTACACCATGAAGTCTACCCAGGGATAGAAAAGATGCTGCATAAGCCTAGTGAGATAAGAGAAACTTGCTCCCTAAATATGGGGTATACAGTAGAAGCTTAGCTGTTAAATTATAAAGTAAAATGACACTTCATCTAATTAAGGAAATAAAAGTAAAACACGGGGCTGGGTAGATTTGGATGTCTTTTTGTAATATACCCCTTACTTGAGTAATAAAAGTCTCACCACATTTGTGGCAGGATGGATCTATGGGGAGGTGTTAATTGGCCCATAAATTTAGGTTACAGGGAGGGCAGAACCTCAGCAGCTCAGCACGCGTGTCCTTGGCAAAGACTTACACAGTGTCTCACACATCCTAACAACTCACCAAGCACTTGCCAATCAAATTAAACACCATTTGAACATTGTCCTCTTTTCTGGGCACAGATGGATTTTTTTTTTTTTCTATACTCAGATTCTCATGATTAACTAGAAGAGCATAGACAGGGTTAGACAAATTGTCTTGTGACACTCACCTGGATGTGGAAAAGCACTCTGTTACTAAGGCGCCTCAATACTTAGCACACAGGAAATCTAAGCTAAGAAGTGGTAAACAAAAAGGCATCTCTTGTTGAATGACACCAGGGAGGCATGGGGGTAATGCTGTATTTTAAATTACTCAGAAGAGGGATTGGGGAGTGCTCTAGGGACTTGCAGGTGTATTCTACCAGGAGGGAAGGCAAATGCCATAGAGAGGAACAGAACAAAAGGGGCTGGAGCTATGGGTGGGACTAGCAGCAAACCAGGGAGGCGGAGGGAAGCAGCTGCCTTCTACCAGCTGTGGTCAACGCATACTCTTAATGGCTGAGCTACTCAGTAAAGTGAGCCTGGTTTCTTTAAGATGGCTGGCTTACCGGTGGGTCCCAGCTCTTCTAACAGACCTCCTCCCTGTTTCCATGGAACCTGCCCACATCACTTAAAGCAGCAGCATCCTGTGTTTAACAGTGAGTTCTCTGGAGTCAAGCAGACTGTCAAATTCCAGAAATGTATTTTTGGATAAGATACAGCCTCTCAGATGGTCTACTCTATACAGGGGTGATGATCAGGCCAGATTGAAGCTAGGTTGAGTGAGGAGCCTAGAGTGCAAAATTTAAGGAGACACCCACTCTCTAGGTCTTGTCAGTGCAGGGAAGCCACGGGCTCAGCCCTGAGAATAACCTCCTTAAAATTTTAGCCTTAGGCACCCAATCTTTCACCCTAGTCCCCTGGCCCTGATGATGAGCATCTCTCTTTCTCATAGGGTTGATATGAGACAGAGATATGGGCCTGCCTGAGTCTAAATAAAGAGATGCATGGAAAGTAATTAGAAGGATGTTGGGTGCATGGGGACAGTGAATATTCACATACTGAGCTCCCGTCTCCAACGTGCCAATCTCAACAGGCTGTGGCAAGGTGACTTAAGGAATTTGTTAAAACTTTCAAGCCTTTTGAAAGAGGAAAAAGCATCTTGCTAGGATGAATAGAGCCTTGTCTTTCTGTGAGCAAAAATGAAAAGACACTCACAGTGTGGGCCCTCTGGGGAGCTGACATTTGTAAACAATAATACACATTGTTGAATATAGACAAGGGGCATTTTATTATATTTTCTTGGGTAGTAGTAACTCAGGATGACAAGCACAGATTGCTCCTGCTCCACAGCCATTTCCCTCCCTCTTCTTCCGTTTGGAAGAGACCCCTTCTCACAGCAGATGTTGAGAATGACAGGTACTCACTTCCTCAAACTCTCATGCAGCTATGGCAAGAGCATATGAACCTATTTTAAGAGTTTTCTTCCCCAATAAAGAGAGATACCTCAGTGTCACAGCTGGTAAGTGGCCCTGATCTACATTTGTTGAACACCCTGTTTGTTAATATCACAGCATCAGTCTGCGGAAAATGGAGTGACAGAGTTGGAAGCTACCTTAGAAATTAAGCACCTGTCTCTAGAATTCAAAATGGACCCAAAACTTCTTTTTCTTTATACTTTTGTGTTTGCTTTTTTCATCCCTTCAAGTTTCTGAATTCTTCTTAAGAGAGAACTTTGTTCTATTGTAACTGATAATTATAGAGAGGAGTTTTGATAGCTGTTGAGTGTCATGGCAATATCTACAGGAAATCAACCAGATCTGGAGACCCTAGGAGGGATGGAGGGGAAACCAAGATGCAGAGGTTTGGGTCAGCTGTGGGCCTGCCTGAGTCTGCTCCCCCTGAATGCGAGACTAGTGTTGTTTCTCCAGTCTGGAAGCTGGCAGCTGTGCTGTCAGAAAGCTTCAGAGGGCAGCCCTTGGCAACAACACTGAGCTAGCCCCAGGGGGTTTGTCTGCAGAAACTTATGCTGGAAGCAATCGTGAGACACCTGCAGATTGACAACAAGAGAGATGGTGAAAATTAACAGCACAGTGCCTTCATCTGAGGGTGCAAGGGGGACAACGAGAAAAAATAACCAGCAAAGCCTGAACTGGGTGAAGTCAATTACAGAAGGTAATGTGGAAGAAGTGAGTTTGGAGCTGGGAATTCAGAAAATCACAGGATGTATTTGAGTCAGGAAAGGACCATTGGAGATCGTAACATTCAGAGTTTTCTAATTCACATTATATACAAGAGGTAAGAAAACCTCTTCTGTAAAAAGACCTAATAGCAAATATTTTTGACTTTGTGGGCCATCAGTCTCTGTTGAAACTACTGAACTCTGCCACTACAGTATGAAGGTAGTCATAGACGATGAATAAGTGAACAGGTGGGGCTAGATTCCAATAAAACTTTATTAACAGCAATAGGTGGTGGGCCACGTTGGCTTGTGGACTGTGCTTTGCCAGCCCATGCTCTGGGGGTCTAGGAAGACAGAGTTATGACATCTCCTCTATGTCAAGAACTGTCTGCACTGTGGGGATATATAGAAGAAAAAGGGCACTGACCTTTTTTTCCTGGGATTTTACAGTTTCTTCTCTCCTTTTTTGAGTTCTCTTTTATCTGTCACCACCACCACAATTGGCCCTCTTAATGGTGCATCTTCTCTGGGTCAGACCTATTCTAGGAGCTCTTTCTCTCTCTCTCTCTCCCACTGGGACCTTTTATATATATATATATATATATATATATATATGGCTCAGTGGTAAAGAATCCACCTGCTATGCAGCAGAAGACATGGATTCAACCCCTGGGTCAGGAAGATCCCCTGGAGAAGGAAGTGGTAACCCACTCCAGTATTCTTGCCTGGGAAATCCAGTGGACAGAGGAGCATGGCAGGCTACAGTACAATCTATGGGGTTGCAAAGAGCAGGACATGACTGAGTGCGCGTGCGCGCGCGCGCACACACACACACATTAGTTTTAAACTTCAAACAGTCCTGCAACATCAGTATTTTCATCTCCATTTTGATGACTAAGGAAATCAGAGCTCCAACTTGCCCAAAACTCTGGAGCTCATAGTTGCCAGAGCTGGAATGTAAACCTAGATCTTTCTTATTTAAAAATATTTGCTTAATTCAAGAGCTGTTACAGATTCAGAAGAGGAATGCCTGGAGACACGGTGCCTGGGAGTCACTTCTGCCTGTGTGACTGTGGGCAAGTTATCTAAGTTCCCTGTGACTCTTCTGTTCATCTCTGTAAGACAGAGACAGTGAAAGTATTTATTTCATGGGGGAGGCGATGATAAATTAACGTAAATAGCTCTCTTAAGGACAATGCTAGGCATTTAATGAGGGTTACAGAAGTATTTGCTGTTGCTGTTTTTGTTAAAAGGGATACTAGATGTATGAAGAGGAAAATTACAGAATCCTAGGTAGAATATGACAAAGGTTCTTATGATCAGTATGACACAGTACTACTTGACTGCCAGCAATTTTGCTCCCCAGGGGACATTGGAAAATGTCTGGATCCATTTTGAATGGTCATGCCTGGGGTAAGGGGGCAGCTAACAGCATCTAGTGGATAGAGGTCCAGAATGTGCCTAAACATTCTATAATGTACAGGGCAGCCTCCAACCCACCCCAACAACAAAGAATTACCTGGCCCTACATGTTTGTACTGTAGAAATATTTTGAATCATAAAGAAGAATAGGTAGACCATTGAATGATATGTTTGCTCTCACAAAGAATTGTTTAGGGACAAAGATGGAATCAGAACTCTGATCTATGGAGTCCACTTCCTGAGTTCTTTCTCTTCCCTCATGTTGCCACAAGGGCAACTGGGGAGTGAGCAGTGGCAATCCAGGTGGTGGTAACTTCATGTGAAAAAGCTTAGAAGCAGGGAAATTGTGGGTCTGGGACACAGCATCCCAATCTACTTAACTCAGACGGTCTCAAGGTGGGGGAGTCATGAGAAGCAAGTGATGGAGGTGGGATGGGGCCCCTGTGAAGAGATCAGAGTTGGTGGCAGAGGAAATAGGGATCCATTCTGGGCATTTGAGCAAAGGAATTGTGCCTATCTGTTAGGACCAGGGAGGATCCATGCAGGAAAAGTCTGGAATCTGGCAGGTCAGTGGCCAGTGGCTGAGCCCTGAGGCCCCAGATAAGATGGACAAGAAGAAGAAGAGGTGATTCTCAGGAACCTAGGGGAAGTGTCTCTGTGGAGCTTGTACAGAGCACATGCTCTGCCTTTAATCAGAGACAAATGGGTGCTAATGACCTCTGGCCATGCATGCAAACCCCGCTCTGCACAGCCCCAAGTGATTTGATGCCTGCTAATGAGGTTTTCTGGAGGGCTGTTGAAGGTTATTAAAAAGCAGTTTTTGCAAACTCAATATTAGTTTTTAAGTAGTTAGCAAGGGTAAGCCCTTCCTGCTCAGTGTCAACCA